ACAGGTCAAACAGCTTTTATTTAGTTTCTTAAACCTAAAGCAATACAGTATTAAAATATGGAAACGTGTTCATTTTATAAGAGAATTGACCTTTTGCTTGGCTTAAGAACAGAGGTATGGGACAATAGGATTGAGGCTTGACTGAGACTTGAGATTAACTTTGCATCTAAATCAGATGCTTTGGTGGCTGAAACGCATTTGGTGTGAACACACCATTAAGTAGTTATTGAAACAAAAATATGATGAATACCTCACATTTTTATTAAATTCACCTCAAGTCGTCCCAGACTAATTTTTCTCCAGAATTGTCTTTGCAGCTAATTTATCTGGATGTTATTTTGCTGTTATGTAACTATCAAGGTTCTTTCACCAAAGGCTGTTGGCTTTAATTATTTAAAGATCAACTGCAGAGATTAATGTCAAATGTTATATTTAATTACAGAGAAGCTGAAAAGTCCTAAATCTGAAGCCACAGAAAGCTGTTAAATTCCTGTTGAAACAGTCTGTGTAGTTTCTTTTTTAGATCATGTGTAGCTGCTGTTTCTAGTTGGATTGTCGAGTTAGTTAATGCTGGGTCAAATTGCTTTACCTGTTTTGCAATTTATTTATTAGAGCCAACATTGTTCAATTAAACAATCATCCTTCCCAATATTGAAGCAACTCAGTTTTAGCCATACCTTGTCAGATTTGTTTTTTCTTTCTTGGATTTGTGTTTATTTTATTCTGAATATTTCCCAATTTGATTTTTTTTAACTTCCAGGAGAATCTGTTTATCAATAAACCAATTTTCATCATGTCTTTTGTTTTCATCCTGGTCTGCCATTATTATGTCTATTGTAATTGTTTGTTCATAAACTATGAAACTGAAATGTACAGATATTTTTTTAAATACACTTTCTCGTTCTTACAAAGCTCTCATCCACATGCAGAAAGGTTTTTGAAGGAAAAAAAATGTTGATCTTTTCTCATAAACAGGTAACAAGATTATTAACTGTAATGAGGCAGATACTCACTACTGTAATTAATGTTTTGCTGCTTCTCTTTGCATTTAGCTCACTTTGTCCTGAAGGTTTTTCCATAAAACTTAAAGTCTACACTGAAAAACTGATTGACTAAAAGAGAAGGACAGACAATTGAACAAAAAACATATTTCAAAATAGTTCTGTGAGGATCCTTTGCCACACTATGTTTAGCCAGGCTTTAGATCTTCGTTTAATTTGATTTGATTTGTTTTTCAGAAGATGAAAAGATTAACAGACTTGGGTTTGCTCTTACAAACCCCTAAATATAATTTAATGCTATTTCTCAGACCTGACTTCCCCAAGAACTGATTAAGTAATCTAACACTAACATATGAGGGAGGTGTTGGTATTCACCATAATAGTTCTTCCAGCTTTGTTCAACATTCTGAAGTAAAAAAAAAAAAACACTGCCAGTCACTTTGTAAATGAAGAGGTGAAACCAGCGACCAACAGACTGCATGATGTAGGAGACTTTCACCCACCGAAAGGCTTTCGTTTTTGCTGGCCAGTTGAATTTCAAGCCGAGCAAAAGCAGACGAACTTGGTGAAATTTTCGCAGGTTACGCTTTTGTGTGAACACACCTTAAGGGGGGCTGTTTCTGCCTTGTTTAGGGACTCAGCTGTGTAACAGCATCTTGACTTCAGCCACTGCTGCCATCTTGGTTCTTGGAAAAAAACAGAAAACAAACGAAAGCTATTCTATCTAGTCTCATAATTTTTGTTGATTACGGCCATAATTTAGCCAAACCTGGAAAGGTAGATACAAATTTTGCTGTAAGATCAATCCATGTGCTGGTTAGTGGCATACTTCAGAAGTGGATCAATAATCAACCATTTTCTGTCACGCTGTCTATGGGTGAGAGGCGGGGTACACCTTGGACAGGTCGCCAGTCCATCGGAGGCCAATAATCACTATTGCCTTAGTTATTTAATACAGTAGATCTCCCTTTACAACCACATCAATCCTAAGGAATACCATGGAAACTGTAAGCATCAAATCCTAAAGTCAAATCTCTATTGGCCTGATTTCCTCTGAAATTTTGCCTGCCCCCATGTTACACTGCTTACTCTATCTCCTCCCTGATTGAGGTGATAAACATTACGTCTCTCGGTTCCAATCGCATCAAACTTCACTGTATTTATAAAGTACTTTTGATGACCAAAGCGACGAAAGTGCTGAGCAGAATACAAAATACCAAGGTGCTGTAACAGAATGCATAACAACATTTGAAACACTACAAAGGCCAATAAAAGCACACAAAAATAAAATACAGTATAATTAAAGTAAATTACCAACCATGTGCTAAAATACTAATAAAAATAAGCAGATGCTAATGCCAACATCATCTCGCTTGGTGTCAAAGGCCAAGGCAAAGAAATGAGTTGTAATAGGAGTTTAAAGTCAGAAAGTAATGTAGAGTACAGAGTCGTCCCATTTCTCATTTTAGAACCTGCCACATCAAAATAACAACAGCTGCTGATAGGAGCAGCTGATCAACTGACCAACAGAACAGAGTAATATTTTGTAGACCTCTGTATTGAGTACAGAAATTAAATCCAACAGGACAAGAAAATTGCACTCCCCAGTCTATAGTTAAAAATATAACTATAAAACCTTTTAAAAGGGCTGTTTTGTTGCTGTGTAAGATTTTAACATCAGACTGGAAAATCTCTTAAATATCATGCTCCCCGAGAAGGCCATCAGCTGACCGGAAACCACTCTGGTACCATTTATATTCTATGGATACAAATGGCTGTACAACTCCTTAAAAACAGCTTTGAGCCATTAAAGGAACTAAGCTGTGACTTAATATATCTCCTCTGTTTTCATTATCATAACTTTGTTACCCCAAACATCTTTAGTTTAACTTCTGTTCAAGGTGTACCTTGACCAGCATTCTGGTTTTTTTTTTGTGTTTCTATTTTCCCTTATTCATTTGCAGAAGATAACAGTTCACACTGATGCTGTTTTTTTTTTTTCGTTGTTTTTTTTTTTGTTTGTTTTGTCTGGAGGTCTCTTTCTATTAAAAAGCAGCCTTTTCTTTCCAGTTTCCCTTCAAGCTAAAGACAAAATACTGATGCTGTCAGTTGTTTTCAGCTTCCAACTGGCAATATAATTTAAAACAGACTGTTTTATAGTATAGTAAAGATAAGGTTAGATTGTGTGTCATTAAATCTGAATTTGATTGATATTAATTGTATTCACTGTGTAAGTGGAAATAAATTATACCTGTTTTCTTCTTGATAGGTGCCTTGACAAGATATTTCTTGCGAATTATGGATATTATGAATGGAACTGAAAACAGATCTCTTATGTAGATTGCAGACTTAGATTATCCTGCTGGATTTGAACATTTATTCTGCATTCATGTTTCCCTCACATTTACAAGCTGTGTACGATCTACCACCGACTAGCAGGTCTACAGACTGGTGCTTCAAATCATGATGCTTTAGATGAATGTGTCTTTTTTGTCTCATCAGACATTAGAATATTAACCTTGAAATCACCAACATTATTTGGGATTAATTTGTAGAGCTATTTCATATGAAAACTTTTCAACATTCCTAAATATAATTTCTCTCCATGTAGAACTTGGGTAATGGATTTTGTATGCAGAGGCCTCTTAATCTGAGCCCTGTAGGCTTTTCATTTCTTCACAGGTGGTTTCTTTCACCAGTCTGCATTTTGCCTGTTTGGTTAGTGAAAACAGTCCGTCTGAGGCAGATTTAAAGGGCTTCTTTCAATTCTTAATGGTAGTTTGGGCAAACTGGAAATATATCTATAGCCATCTCATGAAACATATCTTCAATTATCCTTCATCTGAGTTGCTTACTGTTTTTTGTTTTGTTTTTTGTATTTTTTTGTATGTGACACTGTTGGTATCAAACGACCTCTGTTCAATTAGGATATGCTTGTTAAACTAGGTGAACATTTATTAAAATACTTATTTTAGGCTATATATTTAAAAAAAAAAATTAGATCAGTTTGGGACCATATTTTTCACTGAAACAAAAGTGTTTTTGTCTCTTTATGCATTTTTTGTAAAAAAAAAAAAAAAAAATTAAATTAAATACTAACAAGATACACTGATGAAGGTTAAAAAGACAAAACAGAAATACACCCAAGTGGATTGAATATATGTTGTATACTAAACATTGTCTTGATGGAAAAGTAATGCCTTTCATTTTATATACATATATTTTTTATCTCTGTTTTAAATGTTCTCAGATCTGCAGGCGACCACAATAAAAGCAAGAGTGTCGTGTCCAACATTGGAGACAGAGACGAGTGTGGCTCAAGAGTCTAGCATCTGTCATCAATGAATCCTCTTGTCTCTTCTTGTAATCCCTTTAGTTTTATTGAAGTTGTTTATGGCTTGTTTTAAAAACCTATACATGCATGCAACTTCATATAATTATCTCTGCATTGAGTAAAGGATTTCGGGGAGATTCTTTTCTCCCCTTCAAGCCTTAGTCATGTCTTGCTTAGCTGTGACGTGCAGACACACTGCAAAAAAGATCTAAAAATAAGACAAAATTTCATAAATTAAGTGTATTTACCCTTAATTTGAGCAGGTTAATAAGATGGTTTGCCAATGGAATGAGTATATCCACTCTTAAAGTAAGACAATTGGATATTATGCACTTGAACAATTGAACAACACTTGACAATGTAGCTGTTTTTTCTCATTTTATATGTAAATAATCTTGTTCCATTTGCAAAATGTCTTGCTTATCTCCTCAGTTCAAGAACAAATTAAATAGAGATAGAATTTTTTGTAGTGCAGAACATGTTTGGTCTCAATGCTGTATGTTTTACATTGCATGATTTCTTCCCTGTTGAAAGGGGCAAAACTGTCCATGCAAATACAACTCCATTTGTGTGACGCAGTATGACTGGATTCTGAAAAGAGGTGCCACACAGAAGCTTCCAGGCAAGTGGAGTTAGGCCGTAGCTGAACTGGTGACGTTCTCAAATCAAGTCAGATCAAGACATGTATTCCACAGGGCTGTCCCGACATGGTGGAAAGCCTAACCACAAGCCAAACAATAGAGGAATAGGAGTCGGCAGACATGGCCTGAGAGGGATGGGCTGCGCCACATTTCCACCAACCCTGTACTTAGAACTGCTATACGGATTTTATAATAAAAGGGTTCTCAGCTCCATACAAACACAGCTCCTTCCCTGTGAATAATGCTGAGGGGGAAAAAAGGCCTTTGTGTTTTCAGGCTGCATGTGGGCTGACTATTAACCCCTGTCTGATCACAAGACTAACCTCTGAGCACATTACAGAGCTTCTCAGTAGCTTGCACAGTCAGACCCTTGGAGACATAATGTTAAACCTTTGTTTTCATTTAACAAGTTTCAGATATTTTACTGATATGTAATATGAAGGGATAATTTGATAAAATAAGCATTGAATTCTTCACATAGTGCACTGAGTATTTGTTTCTTTTTAATTTGTTTTTTTTGCAAAGCATCATTCAGCAGTTGTGTTTTCTCTGCTCTTCCCAACACATCATTGTTAATATCGTGCTTCCATATTTATCTGTCATGTGTCATGACATATGTCAAGATCTATTTGTTACTTGAAAAATTTCTGTGGTTGCTGTAAAAAGCAGGGTTTTTTATGTGAGTCTGTGAGAAGATTAAAAAAATAAAATAATGTAAAAAATAAAATCTTAACATCTTTTCAAATTAAACGTGTTTTTCACAGATTTCTTTTCTTCTCTATACTGAAATTTTTACTCAGTAATTAAATTTAGCATTGCACACAGAGAGCTGTTTTAGAAATGTACACGAAACATTTGATTATCCGTATATTAGAGTATTTTTAAAACAAACAAAAAGAGAAGTTTAACAAAACAAATTACTTTCTCGACCTCAACCTCCGTTTTTTTTACGGAAGAGGATTAGGGCCATCAAAAAAAATTAAAAAGCTGAACTGTTTTTTTTTTTTATGTATTTCACATTAATATGGGACTTTTTTCCCCTCAGAATTCTGACTGTTTTGTCAGAATTCTGAATTTTTTCTCAAAATTCTTATTTAACTCTCAGAATTCTGACTTTAATCTCAGAATTCTGACTTTTTTTTTAATTCTGACCTTTTTCTCAGAATTCTGAGTTCTTTCCCATATTAAACTGAAATAAAAGAAAACTTTTTTTATTTTGTCAGTGGCCCTAATCCTCTTTCGTAGTACGTTTTATGCATGTGGGGGAAAAAATACACAACTGGTTTTGTTAATTACACAATACTGACATCAAGCGGTGACTATTTTCAATTGCAAGAATAAAATCTGTTTTTTTACTTCCGGGTTCTGCGTCAGCCTAAGTGGTCCACGTCCTACAACCCAAGCAGTTGCTGGTTACCGGTATTTACTTTCCTGGCTGGTTTTAGCTTTTTCTCGTCATGTATCACCAGCCTGTGCTGAAGAACAGGCGCACTCTCTTGGAGAGAGCAGAGAAGTTTATATCTGATGTTTATTTCACTGACTGCAACCTGAGAGGACGGTAAGGCTTTGTTCATTGAGCTGCACGGCGCAAACTGTCAGTGCATAATCACAACAGTCTGTTTATGTATAGAGACTTGGACGTTTTTACATCTCCTAGACCTCATAATAAAAATACATCTTAGAAATATAGCTTTTGTTGTTGTTGTGAGAAATCAGTGTAAGTACTCCACACAACAAAAATATTTTGGCTATATACATATATCTAAAACAGTAGTTGTAGATGTTTGTTTTTAAGCATTTGTTTACATAGAGTCACCTGCAGGTTGCATATCCAAAGAACCTCCTTATACTGGAGCTTTAGCTGCAGGACTTTTTAGAACTCTTATCAGCTCTGCACATTGGGTCATTCTCAGTCAGGTTCCAGTTTCCCAGTTTCTGGTGAAGAAAATTCACACAGCATGATACTACCTCCTCCATGCTTTCACTATGGAGATGGTTCACCCAGTGAATATTCAGCGTTTGTTTTTTGCCAAGTCTTGCATATTAATTATACATTTCACATTTGGTCTCAGTAGAGCAACTCACAGTCCCCTATTTGTTTCCTTTTTTTTTTGGAGGGGGTGAGGGTGTGGGTTGCTAGTCCTTAATAGGTTTTCATTCATACATTTTTTTAGAATTATGAATTAAACAGTGTTCTTTTCAGACATTTAGATTTAATAATGCAAATTTTAAAGTGATTTGACTTTAAGTTATAGTGTCTGAGTGAGTGGGAAAAAAATGCATGCTTCCCAGTATTGCTTTCTGTAAAAAAAGAAATGTAGTACTTTTTATCAAATCTTTATCAAATGTATATGGAGTTTTTTGCTTGCAATGTCACAAACAGTAAAATGAAAAGATTGTAGGAATACTTTGACACACCTCTATAGTGTATTGTGCTTTTATTTTATGAATTATATTATTTATATAATATTATTATATATTTACAGGCTGTATGGTGAATCTTGTGCGCTGGAAGCCATCAGCTTCTTCCTGTCTCAGAGAAGAATCCCCTTTGCCGAGGCCTCCAAGCAGAACTTTGTACCTTATAAAGTCGGTGATACATTTGGACCTACGTAAGTGATGCATACACTGAGTTCCTTTTAGTTTCTTTTTAGAGTATAATCTTTTAAACTCTGTAAATCCAGAACTAAATAAAATTTGAATGCTTTTTAAGATGGTGGACTTGCTGGTTTAAAGTGTCCCTGACAATCCCTGAATCCTGGAGAGGGAAAGAGGTTCATCTGCTTTGGGAGAGCGATGGGGAAGGAATGGTTTGGAGAGATGGGGAGCCAGTTCAGGTAATGTGTATATTGTGTGTGTATATATATATATATATATATATATATATGTATATGTGTGTGTGTATATATCATGTATGAAACACCATTTGTACTTACAGGGATTAACTAAAGAGGGTGAAAAGACAAGTTACGTCTTGTCTTACTGTTTGAAAGATGAGGAGCCCCACAGGTCAGTACAATTATCTTCTGCTGAATCAAAACAAAACTATGGCAATATATTTTGTATTAAAGGAAGAGCATTTAAAAGTAAAAAGCACAGCATCGTCCAAAGCAATTAGAAACAACCAAACAGACTCAACAGATAGGTGTAGTGACGGACTCAGACCCAGAAATTCAGAGGCACATAAAGACAGTAGGTGCGTTTCCATCAGCTTTTTTTAATGCGTATTTTGAAGTATTGCATTATAACATGTCCAGGAATAAAGGACTTATATCTCAGCTGGACCTTGAGAAACAATTTCATGCCTTCCGCTGTAGTAGAATCGATTACTGCTGCAGAGTCTACTCGGGTCTTTCTAGATGTCAGTCAGACATCAGCAGTTGGTCTAGAATAATGCTGCCCAATTCCTCACTATTCATATTGAGAAAGTGGAGCACATCAGCCCAATTCGGAACTTGTTATCCTGGTTCTCTGCATATCAGATAAAAGACTTTCAAATAATTTTATCAGTCTTTAAATTATTGAATATCTTAGCTCATTAGTCAGGGTATCAACCATCCAGACCTTTCAGATCGTCTGGCTCTAATCTACTCTGCAAACCCGGAACAAAACATTGAGAAGCAGCTTTTAGTTTAAATGCTCCACTAATCTGAAACAAAGTCCTAGAAAACTGTAAAAGTCATGAAACCCTGTGTTGTTTAATTTGTTGAGAGTGGCCTTTGACTGTGTTATCTAAACATTATTAGTTTAAGTTTCTATTCCAACTTTCCTTCATAACAAATGTTTTATCTTAATTTATTGTCTTGAAATCTACTTTTGCCCAGTCTGTTTTCCCATTATGTACAGCACTTTGAATTGTCTTTCTACTGAAATGTGCTGTATAAATAGACTGAACTTGCTGGAAGTACTTTTTTTCTGCAATTATTTGACTTATTTCATATCCCCATCTTTCCTAAAAAGCATCAGCCTGTATGTGGAAGTAGCCTGTAATGGGCTTTTCGGCGCTGGTCAAGGATCCATGATTGCAGCTCCTGACCCAAGCAGGATGTTTTCTGTACAGAAAGCAGAGTTGGTAATATTCAACCGGGATGTGCAGAAGCTGTTGACTGAGTTTGAGATGCTTGTTGACATTGTCAAGGTACCATAACGTAAAACAATGTGTGATCATTTATCAGTAAGATGAGGAGATGATGCTTTATAAGGAGTAACCTGAAATTCTGGGCATCTTTTAAACAGGAGTTAGGCGAGGGGGAGCAGCGGGGCTACCAGGCGCTCTTCACTGCTAATGAGATGGTGAACCTCTGTGACCCGTTTGATCCCAGCTCCTTCTCCAAAGCTCACAGTCTGGCCCACAAGTTCTTTAACCAGCGGAACGGAGAAAGCCAGCACACTGTCCACGCTATGGGTCACTGCCACATAGATTCAGGTCTTTATTTATTGAATCTCTCCTATTACTTTTCAAACAATCCAGTGAAATTGTTCTGACCTACTGCTGTCAATCTTTTTGGTTTAACCACATTTTCTAAAAAAAAAAAAAGGTACTATGTCATTTTTTTCAGAAGTAAGGAAGCTTTTAAACTCACTTAATACAAGATGTAATCAAGAATAGGCTAAAAACTCTGTTTAGGTCAAACTCTTTCCATCTGAAAAAATACTCCCTTTCTTTAAGCTACAGTTTATTTCTTTTGCATTTGCTCAATGAAAGAATATGCTGTGTTCACTGTAGTATTTGCAAACTTTGCAGAAAGTTTTGCTGCAGAAGCATATACGGCTGTTTAACACCCTGTTGTGCAACTCAAGATAACCTTTTTTTTATTGCTTTACAAGGCTTTACCTGCACACAGAGGTGTGTTAGAATATTTTAACAAAGCCATACTTTACTATACTAAAACAAAAAATTATAGTATTCATTGTTATGTTGAGAAATCATTCCCAAGTTGCTAAAATACTTTTTTTTTCTTTAACAATGCTTTCTCTGCCTTACTTCAATAAGATAACATTTCCTGGAGGCTCTGTTTAAACACAAAACTCTTGTGATTTCTTGAAACATACATTAGTTGATATTTTTTACAAATATACATTTCAATAAATTAAAATATTCATCGGTTTCAGATTAAAATTTCATATAAATATACTTTTAACATAATTTGAATTAACTGAGCTTCACCTGTACATTTTTAAGGATAATTTTAAAGCTATAATTTGTATTATGTTAGATTAAAAAAACATTTTATATGTATGAACAATCATTATTATGTACCTTTTTATTAACATTTACTTTTATTAACATATTGTTTATTCTAACTGAATACAAAGTGTTCTAAAGTTGTGTACTAAAACATTGCTTTATCTAAATTTATGTTTTGTCTCGTGAATCTTTTTTTTTCCTATACTAAAATGCTTTATTTTATTTTCTTTGTATATAAAATCTAACAGAAAATGCAGATTTCCAGTGAATGAATTCTAATATTTGTGTTTCCGTGTTCTTAGCCTGGCTCTGGCCTTACGAGGAGACCATTCGGAAATGTGGCCGAAGCTGGGTGACGGCCATCGGCTTAATGGAGAAGGACCCAGAGTTTGTCTTCACTTGTTCTCAGGTTGGTTCTAGCTAAAAAATGTATTAATTTTTTTTTAATGTTCCTTATATATGTGATTGACTCCAGTTTTCCCCCTTTTCTTTGCCTCAGGCCCAGCAGTTCCACTGGGTAAAGAGCTGGTATCCAGGACTTTACTCCAAAATTCAGGACTATGTGAAGAAAGGCCAGTTCATTCCAGTTGGAGGAACATGGGTGGAAATGGTAAACCTAACCTCACAGAACCAAACAGTAGTAGGCATTTTAAAATTAGCTGCTTCAGTTTAACCCGTTCATTAACCTAAGATCTCTAATTTTCAGCTGTTTCCAGGGTTATAAATCACAATACTTATGTTATCTATTAACCCAATCAACTAATTAAAAGTGAATTTATTTTAATAACTCAGTTCACTAATTGAGACACATTATTGGATTAATTACACACAGAACAATGTTTTCAAGCCCTTATTTCTCCTAATTATAATGGTTCTCCATTATAAAAAGATTCAGTTAAGATAAAATTATTACATTAGACAAATAAAAAAGCGACAACATTTTGAACATGAACTCACTCTTTGGAGGGATTTAATAGTAGGCTTTCATGAACTTAGTAGGCCTTGACTTCACCACACAGCATAATGACAGCTTGTGAGAAAAGATTCTTGCAAAATTCTGAAAAGCTCTGTTACTCTGATCCCCACGGTCAGAAAATCAGCATGCAAATTTCTTTTTGATTGTATAAATGCACATCAATAATGTAGCAGTAAAACTATCTTTGAGATTGTCTGCAGCTTAAAGACTAAAGATAAAGTTGCAGGTTGAGGGACAGGACATATGAGTAATCATTATACTCAGCCAACATCAGCAATCAGGCCTAAGAAAAACCAAGAAAAAAACCAAGAAAAAACAGCAATCATGCAACTTTCAGTTGATAAAAGTCAGCATTATTTTAACAGCTTCAGTCACCTTCCTGGTCTGGTTGTTGACTTTGCACCGGTTAACAATTTTTGCCGTGTTACATGTTTTTATTTCCAAAGATTTCATCCATGTTTGATTAATTGAAGCTTCCCACTTTTAAGACTCTTAGGTTTTGGCCCTATGATATGATGATACGTGACCTTTCAAATTAAAGTCTACTGACAGTTCTGTATTTTTCTTGAAGGATGGCAATTTGCCCTCAGGTGAGTCCATGGTTCGTCAGTTCCTGGAAGGCCAACGCTTCTTTAATCAGGAGTTTGGAGTCTATTGCAAAGAGGTAGAATTCTTCAAAAATACTAACACTTAATGCGACCCCTGTTAAACATGTTGATAATCATCATTATTAATGTTTTTATTAATAAGTTATCATATCTGCTCAATGTTCTGCAGTTTTGGCTTCCAGATACGTTTGGCTATTCTGCCCAGCTGCCACAAATCATGCAGCAATGTGGTATTTCCAATTTTCTGACGCAGAAACTGAGCTGGAATTTGGTCAATACCTTTCCTGTACGTACTTCGCATATGGTTTACAGTTACGGTTACATTTTTATCAGAGTGACTTTACTGTTTTTTTGTTTTACTTTCATCTTCAAAAGCACAACACATTTTTCTGGGAAGGTCTGGATGGCTCCAAAGTTTTGACTCACTTCCCACCAGGAAATTCGTATGAAATGAAAGGAAAGATTGAAGATGTGAGAGAAATAATACAGTGTATAAAGGTATAACTAATGCTGACAGTGGGTGGAGGATGTCTAAAACTCACTTATGTGCTTTTCTCCACCCATAGCTAGTGAAAACTGTGAAGAATAACAAAGATAAAGGGCGTGCCAATCACAGCGCGGCATTGTTTGGTTTCGGAGATGGGGGCGGCGGCCCTACACAGCTGATGCTAGACAGGCTCCGCCTTGTCCGGGACACAGATGGACTTCCCAGGTGGGTCTGTGTATTTATTTTACATCAATGTTGTAATTTACAGCAACTGGGCCCAGATCAGGAGGGTGGTGTTTATACGAGGATATGAGGCATGTCTGACAAATGTAATTGTCTGCAAATGTCGTCATGTTAAGTTATAGTGAATTAAATTTACGTATGAGGCTGTATTACTCATCTCATGTCCTGCTGTGGCCTTTCCCAGGGTCCAGATGTCCAGTCCTACAAAGCTTTTCTCAGAGCTTCAAGCTGACTCAGGCCTTTTGTGTACTTGGTCCGGAGAGCTCTTTCTGGAGCTGCACAATGGGACCTACACCACACAGGCCCAGGTAGTGCCAGACCACAAAGCTTTTATTTTTATTATCCTTTTGCAGACGGAAGAGTCTTTGAGTCTAAACCTTGATGACATTATCCTGCAGTTGGAAAAAATAGTCCGAAGCATTTCTGCATCAAAGCTAATGAATCTGTTAGCTGAATCTTGCATGCAAGTTAAAAACTGCCCCGCTGTGTGTGTGTGCTTCTAGCCTGTCTTTATTATCTGCAGATTAAACGAGAGAATCGCCAGTGTGAGGCTCTGCTTCATGATGTCGAGGCAGCCTGCAGTTTGGCCCTCTGCAGAAACAGGACGTTTCTGTACCCTGCAGAAAAACTGCAGCAACTCTGGAGGTAAAAATGGAAAGAAAAGCTCAGTCAGAAAAATGATAAAAAACACTGGTTGTTGTTTTTTTTTTATGTTTTATTGTCCCACCCCTACCCACTGTTTTACAGGCTGCTCCTTTTGAACCAGTTCCATGATGTCATTCCTGGTAGCTGCATACAGATGGTTGTGGAAGATGCTCTTAATTATTATAAAGGTAAGGTGTTTTGGATAGCAGCTTTCAGTTTGAAATGAAGCCCTTTCTTGGGCATAATATTTCTACATCCTGTTTCAGATATCAGAAACGATGGAGGTGTTCTCCTGCGGGACGCATTTGAAGCCTTGGAGACAAAGGGCGGCTCTCCGGGGGTCTTCAACTCTCTGCCCTGGGAGAGATGTGAAGTCATTCAGGTTGCAGACGTCACAGGCAAACCTGAGCTAGGTAAGCTCCATACTATCCTTAATATTGGGGATGTTTCGGTTGAATGGTAACGTCATGCTCTGCGGTTCTCCAGCTCTGGTTCAAGCTCCCAGTGTTGGTTTGGCTCCAGTTAAAGCGACACAGCCTGAGACCCCAGTCTCTGTCGCTCTTCAGGTATTTGAGTCAAAGAAATTTATACCAGTGCTGTTCAAATTTTATTTTCATAGCTGAGCTTTTTTTTTTTTTTTTGTTTACAGGCTGACGGTACTGTCCTCATGGGGAATGGCATTTTACAGGCAGTCATCTGCAAAGATGGCACACTGGCTTCCCTCCACTTAATAAGTGCAAATAGGTGAAGTTAGAGCAAAAGTAAATTATTTTAACGTCATCTGGTGGCCTATCTAATAATTACTTCTGACTCTTAGGGAAACAATATCTGATGGCTGCGTTGGAAACCAGTTTGTCATATTTGATGATGTGCCGCTGTACTGGGATGCCTGGGATGTGATGGACTACCATCTTCAGACAAGGTCTCATTATTCACACATTAGTCATTATTACACACATTATTTATTGGTTTAGAAAAGGGATAAAAATGAAAACCAATAAAAAGTACTCCTCAGGAAGCCGGTACTGGAGGTGGTGCAGCCTGTCCAGGTGGTGTCCTCAGGGGGGGTCAGAGGCAGCGTCAGCTTCACCCTGAGGATCAGTGATAAAAGCACTGTCACACAGGAGATCATCATGGATGCCTTGTGTCCCTACATTAAGTTCAACACAAAGGTACTCTGAGATCTAACATAGCTTTTGTGATTTTACTCTGTTTATTTATGAAAGAAACAAAAAATCCATCTGTGTGATTTTTAAGGTTCAGTGGGAAGAATCCCACAAGTTTCTCAAAGTTGAGTTTCCTGTGGGAGTACGAAGCCCGACTGCTACGTATGAGATTCAGTTTGGTCATCTGCAGAGACCCACGCACTGGAACACGTCGTGGGACTGGGCAAGGTTTGAGGTACGAAGTGTTACTCAGCAATTCCTCTTCTTTAACAGCTTTGGGACTTTTTTTTACTGTGTTTTCTGACTAAGGTTTGGGGTCACAAATGGGCAGATCTGTCTGAGCACAACTTTGGCGTGGCGCTTCTGAATGACTGTAAATACGGTTATTCCATCCATAAAAACACAATGACTCTGTCCCTGTAAGCTTTTCCTGTTCCTAGAATACATGAAACACCATCTTGGTCAGATTTCTGTTTGTAATTTTCATTTTTATGATCCTTCAGCCTGAGATCACCGAAGGCCCCAGATACTACTGCCGACATGGGGAATCATCAGTTCACCTACGCCATCATGCCCCACTCACGTAGGGTTGGTTTGGTTTTGATCTGTTACAAGCTAGACAGACTCATTAAACACATATTTATGTTATCTTTTAGCATCCTTCCAGGATGCTTCTGTCATTCAGTGTGCTTATAACCTAAACTACCCTCTGAGGCCGATCCAGTGCCGTCCTGACTCTGTACCCTGGAGTGCCTTCTCAGTCAGTCCGTTAGCAATTGTACTGGAGACAATCAAACAGGTATTGCATTTACAAGCCATGCTCAGTTTTATGTGAAATCTGTTGAGACTGGGGAACATGGCACCAGCTTTTAAAACCACAAACTTTGATGATTAAGGATCTCCTGTGATAGACCAACACAATATCGGGCACAATTGTGAGTTGGAAGGAAAAGGATGCACAATTTAAAAAAAACTTCTATTAAATTTAGATCTGAAAATATGGGCAAGAATTTAAGATCAGCCCCCTTTATTGCCGCCTGCCTCCATAAATCCCTTACATATTGATTAGTCAGTCTGCATGTAATTCAACCTCTGTATAAAGTTAACTCTGTAAAGGCCTGAAAGGTTTCTTAGTGATTCAAAATTTGAGAATTTTATAGTCATTTAGAAGTGGAGAGAGTTTAACTTAACTGTAGCCTTAGCTGAAAGGCTATGTGAAGAGTTATTAGACCATAGTTACTGTGGAGGAGCAGCAGAGGGCCCCGGTTTCAGTGGGAGATACTTTATTCAGATACTCCAAACAATCTTTTATCTAAGAGGAAAGTCATTTTTTACAGCTAAAGTTTGAGAATTTCAATTTGTATTGTGCCTCAAATCCAGCAGAGAGCACTGGTCATATTTAGTACCTGCAGATTAGAATAAAAGTAAACTTTTAAAGCTGTTTGGAAAAGGCATTCAGAAAAAAATGTCTCACTTTCTCTCTCAAGCCAGTAAGAATTGCTAATCAGGTTCAATGAAAAAAACAAAAATCCCTTTATTTTTAAAAACTGTATAAAAATGTTTACTAAACTATTTTGCATGATGAGATTAACAAAATAACCAAATCTTACCTGTGGTGCCACTACATGGGATTTTAAGACCAGGTGGTGAAAACGCTCTTAATTTCAATCTGTTAATATCTCCAACTTCAAATGTAAAGCAGTAAAATTTAGAGGCAATAATGGACCTCATATAAACCAGTAATTCAGTCCTATAGTGTAAAAATCTTTTATGATACATAAAAGAAACCGGCCCTCTTGTTTCTGAAATACTTGTCAACATTTTTTTGTTTTTTATATTTTATACCCAGTGCAATTACTATATATATATATATATATATATATATATATATATATATATATATATATATATATATATATATATAAAAACACCCATTTAATACCATGGGCAATAAGGAATGGGAAATAAGAGACTTCAGCTAAAATATATATATATATATATATATATATATATATATATATAATATATATGGATGCACTTTGTATCCTGTATATACCCCCATGCACATTTTGAGCCGATGTAATGAGTACATTTCTCCATTGTGAGATCAATAAAGTCAATCAGTCCAATGCTTTGAAAATGGCTATTAAGCTGATTATACTGAAATACCTCTGGCTAAGGATTCCTATCTATGTTCTATTTGCTCAGTTTAAACTCCAGGTCTTTTTAGTCAAGAATTTGGGAGGAGACTCTAAAAGGGATCCCGATTCATCTAGTCAGTCTGTGTTTTATTTTATTTTTTTGCAAAGCTGCTCGACACACCTTAAAAACACATGTAATTGTATTTCAGCAATTAGTTGTACTCTGTAGTGTCTCTCAGGGTGATAAAAATGCCGTTAGAGGTTATATAAAGGAGTATAAATATGATTAAATGCCTTTTAAGTGTAATTTTCCTTACTAGGCAGAGGATGGAAAAGGTAAACTTATCCTTCGTCTTTACGAGTCGCATGGGAGCAGCGTTAGTGCGATTCTGCGAAGCCACTTTCCAGTGAAGGAAGCCTGGCAGTAAGTGCTTCTATTTTTATCTCACATTATGATTCTACTTGCATTTTTTCTAAGAACAAAGCTATTTCTTTCAGTTGCGATTTCTTGGAGAGGAAAGACCCCACCCGGCCAGCACGCATCACATCTGAGGGGATCTCTCTGACCTTCCAACCCTTTCAAATTGTGACACTTCAGATCAGTTTGTGATTGCTGTCCACCAATGATTCAGGGTTTAGAAATTGGACATATTTGGTGTAGAATGATGTGACAACTTTGCAATAAATAAATGCTTTTGTAAAAAAGGTTTATTTGGTTTAAAAAAAAAACATTTTTGAAGAGTAAAATTCCTTCGTGGATCGGTTTGATTGAAACTTTATTTGCTGTTTTTTCTGGTTGCTCTCCCACTTCGTGTCTCTCTGCCTGCAAAAACAAGTATGGAGAGTAGTTTTCACACACTACAGTATTTTACTAAAACTAATCTTTTTTATATTAGTTGATATTTTCTCAGGTGTTTACCTCCAGGAGGTTGTGCACTGCTGCTTTTCCTTTCGCGTGTGCTTTCTCTGGTTTTCCTCTGTTGGATACCTTCCTGCTTCTTTTCGGCATTTCCTTTCTTTGATACAGTGTCCTTCACATGTACAGTTTCCTTTTTTGGCATTTCCTTTTTCACCGCCCTCCTTTTCATTGTGCTCTCCATCACACTTTTGGTCACCTGAAACAAATATTGGGTTACTAAAAGCTATACACTTTAAATTTTGTCTAATAAAAACAACTTACCTTTTTCTTGGCTGTATAATCATGGTCATCGCCTTTCTTTGCCCTCTTTTTTGCCTTGGGTGATTTTGAGTCTGGTGAGGTGAAACAAAGAGCTGGTTAAAACAAAAACTTGAAGCTCACTTACACCTTTGTGATATCCAGCAATTATAGATGTTACAAAAATATTTTTGCTTATATGCTAGAGCATTCTGGATTTGTAAAACACATAATGTGACCGCACATTTAAAAAATAAATAGCTTACTGTCCGGAAGAAATCAATTATCGGAAACATTTTTATAATCTCTTAAGCACAGATTTTACTTTCGAAAAAGGATTTCCCTTAGTTCCAAACTTCTGCTGCAGACGACAGATAAGCTTTGCAGGGTGGCGTCCTGTTATGCAACAATTTCTTGTTTTTACTTTTCATGCCTGAGGTCCTGTTTGGAGGTTGTGTTAGTGAGTTCATTTTCCTTCTGTCAAGATTTTCTCTCTCTCATGTTTAAAAGTCTTCAGCGTCGTCCTAAAGAAATACTTCTTTTTAAAACTACTATCCCAAATGATGGAAAAAAAGCAGGCGTCTACCTCAGTGTTTACTGGAAAATAAATAATTGCAATCTGTCCTTCATGCAGCCAGATAAGAGTGAACGTTAAAGTGGTTGAACAATGAATGTAAACAATGAAATTACAGCCTACAAAGGACCTTGAACAATCAAAAGAAACAGACTGCAGCTTGAGTCTGAATTTCGGGAGCAACCAGACACAGGTTTATACAAAGAAAGAATGCATTGTTCTGTGGAGCAAATCAAGGTCTCAGATTCTAGACAGAGAGTGAAGAGGCACCGAATCCAATCTACTGAAGGTGAAGGCTGAATTTCTCTCAGTCACTGAAGAATACAGGAGTCATGCCAGCTGCTCCAAAGTCAGCACAGCACTTCTCTGATGACTCTGCTGAGCCACAGACTAATTGCCTCCTTTCCAGACTGCAATGAGGCAGCAATTTAGTGCTAATGTAGCTCCAACTTCAATTGATGCCATTCACTTTACTGAGGAGGCTGACATCTCTGGATTACCAATTGTTTCTTTGTGCATTGTTTGGCTTTATTTGATATTATAACGATCAGAGAAAGAAAACCATTAACAAACAAAACACTTTTAATGATCTCTGTGTGTTTACCTTCTTGAGATAATTAGCTGAAATCATTTATTTTTTTTGATGACATTCAGAGGAACCTAGATGTTCCTGTTTTACCATCTTCGAGGTTCTGCGTGTAGATGCTCTTAAGTTTAAGACCAGAAGATTTACACCAGGGGTAACCAATTAAAAATCAGCAGGATCCAAATAAAGAAAATCAACAACCAGTAAAGGTGACATTTCTAATTATAATCTGTTATTTTAAACAGAATTTAAGACTGAAATAAAATTAGGTTTTTATACATCCATGTTATAAATTGACTTTTTAAATAAAAAAAATATAAAATAGAACATTTTCCCATTTTAAAATCTAAAGTGTTTTTCAAATTAGAGAACAACAATCGTTCAGTTTGGTATATAGACAATTTCCTGATTCACATATTTTATAAAACACCTGACCTGACCATTTGTTTTTGTTTTTTTTCTTTTTTATGGCTTAATAAGAGAAGTGAGCTTTAGGCTGACCTTCAAGGCTTTAAACCTGATTGGCTAAAAAGCCATCGTCAAGCACATATCGAGGTGCTCATTTGGGAGCCTGGATCAATACTTATTATTGATTCTGTTCATGGTGGAGAATCCTGCTTTACAGCAGCAGGTTGAGCCAGACGTACTCAAAATGTGCAGGGTCATCTTAGAGCACGCCATTTCACTTTTCTTTCACCAGTTCAGAGTTCTACCAACAGTCCACACTTTTTCTGCTTTCTTTTTGTCATCATATTCTCCTTCTTTCCCATTGCCTGACTTGCCACAGGTTTGCATGATCTGTATAAAAGTGGCTGGCAGCAGTGACCCAGACTAACACAGCTCATTGGCTAATTTGTATCACATGTGGCCTGGTCCTGGATGCTCCGGAAGGCTTTCATATTAACGGGAGAAGTGCTGGATGTAAAGTTAGACAATGTCGATGGACAACATGCGGTAATTTATAGATGTTTTAAATGAGATTGGGTCTGGAGTAGCCAGCAGGTGGATCTGGATCCAGACAGCAGTCTGCTAATCTGTGACCTCTTATTTAGAGGGACGCTGAATTCCCCTTTTGGGAGTGTTTTCATAATAATATTGCAAAGTTAAGGCCATGGCTCGATCGGAATGGGGCAAATCAGTAAGGACACTTAATCCAACGATTGATTCTGTCATTGGTTACCATGATAAGAGCTGTGCGAATAGGGCTGTCAGTAAGGAAGGAGGTAGAAGAGGGAGCAGAAGGCTTCTTATCAATAGTTCATTTCACAGAAGGACCTCCTCAAGTTGCTTTATAGCAGGCATCCCCAAAGTCGGTCCTCGAGGGCCGCTGTTCTGCAGGTTTTAGAGGTTTCTCTGCTTTAGCACAGCTGATTCTGATGATGCAGTTCAGCAAAAGATTGTTAATCAACTATCAATGTAAATCAGCTGTACTGGAGCAGGGAAACCTCTAAAACCTGTAGGACAGCAGCCCTCGAGACCAACTTTGGGGATGCCTGCTTTATAGGATCTATATGAACTCCCACAATCCTTTGTGAGATAAGACAGCCCTGCTCATAGAATTTAAAAAACATACAGTATTTTGTCAAATGCACTTGAGAGAAACATGCAAATCTGTCATGTTTTGGAATTTGTGACGAGAGCTTCAGGTGTCTGCCTGATTTGTGCAAATTATTAGCCATCAGCCCGTGTTTCCTGTCACTCAACCGGTACACTTGTAACTGCAGACTCATTCTAATAATCAGAAAGGTACAAGGTGATTTTGGAAATGAAACTTTCCATATTTTTTTCAGTGATGAAATTAAGAGAATTTTTCCAATAATTGCTCCATTTATCTTTTTGATATATGTTTAACTAAGCCAAAATACTCCTTTCCTACAGGGTTTGCTCATGCATGCAGTTTACTTACCTTTGGGTGCCATAGGCCCTGGGTCTCCCTGGAACAAATTAGAATCTTTACTTTTATTATCAGTAGATACTTAAAAATAGATTAGAGATTTGTTTTATTTACTCACTTTAAACCACATTGTTCTGCCATTGTGGTCCCGAACTGATTTCATTCCATCCACATAGTAACACTGCAGCCACGCCTGGAAGGCAGAGTAGTCCACCTTCTCAGGGTCGTAGCCCTTACCACCTAATAAAACAACATTTCTCATTCATTAAGGGTTTAATCAGGGTTTTAAGCAGAGGAAATTAATAGGAAATTAAATGGGACCCACCTAGGCTGACCACCTCTAAAGGAACTGTATGACAGAGTCTGAGCAGGTCACCCATTCCCTGTGTTTTCCCTTTCATTTTAGCTCTGTCTGGGATCTTTCAGGCAGAATAAATATAATGTAAGAATAAACAATGCTGAAGTTTGTTTGGAGGAAAGAGGCAGGCTTTTTTCCTCCCTTTTACCTCTGTCTTTGTAGGCTCCTTTTTCAAAGGCTTCTTGTTCTCAAATTCATCCTCCAACTCAAGGCCTTCCAGTGCATCCCGTGCACACAGAAATGGTGGGATATTCAACCTAAGACAAAAAGGAAAAAAACGGCGCTTTGTTTGACAAACAGAACTCTTTCACACACTGATATAAGCTG